GTCAGTTTAAACCTAGGTAATCTAGTTACTTAAATCCTATCAAATGGCTTTTTATATTAGGCTGAAATTTATTTCAAGATAAAGAAAATCATCTTTGATATCTGAAAATCGTGGTTGCATGAATGACAGCAGATGCAATCTCAGATGAACATAAAAACGGCCTCCTAGTTCAGATGAACTCAATAGCATTTCTGCAGCATTTTGTGGAAAAAAATGCACAAATTTAATCATATGTATTTAGTCAGGAAGAGAATTCATAGCCAGCCCAGCATATTTACAAAAATACCTAAGTAATGGCAAGATGGTCAAAATAGACATTTTCTTTTGCTAGTAGGGGGCATTTGGAAAAAAACAGCACAATCTTCATTTTCACCAATACACTGAAGTGTCAGTCAACACTGCTGGGGTATTTTAGAGAATAGGAGCAGCTACTGCAAGTCGCCTGCACCAAATAAGCTCCACGTGCTTGCCCTAGACCATCGAATGTCAGGACTGCTACTGACCTAATTCATATGATCATAAACAAATGTGACTTTTTAAAATGTGGAACTTCACTAATTATTCTAGAGCAGTTTGCTACCCATTTCTCTCAAAAGTCTATCGTGTTTGTTTATTCCACCAGCTTTTTCTAAGGGCTTTTAGCAAATTCTCTGTAGAAAAATGTGACAGAAAAAGCAGGAACACATGCAAATTTCCTCTGCCTTGTTATGAGCTGTTGTGATGGCAAATGCCATTTTCACTAATGATACTTCAAGAGGTATTTTCAAGTAACTTTGGAGAATTACAGCAGAGTATCAGCCTCACTCTGGTGAAGATTACAAATATCTTACCTGTCAGCTCTCCTAGGCCTTTGAAATCCTGAAACTTCTCTTTTTTGTGTGTGGGTGATGGATGGGAATAGTTCGGGAGGATTCGGTAAAGCAGATTACATTTATCTGAGGCAAATTCTCCTCAAATCCATTTCTAAAAGCTACGGGCATTTCAGGAGGAATTGGGAATGAAACAAGGGATCTCATTTTATCTCTCTCTTTTCTTTTTTCATGGCATTTGCTGCTCCTGGGGAGGCATCAAACCCTGCATCCATCGACCTATCGATCTGAAGGAGTTGCTGTAAGCACAGAACCATCAGCTGGAGTCAGAGCCTTCCAGGAATTTTGTTTTCAACTTTTCCTCCAAAGGAATTGTGGTTTGAGAGCCTGTGATACTCAGTGTGCTCAAAAATTATTCGGGGGTAGAAGAGACTGCCCCAATAAATGTCTTTGAGGAAAGGCAGAAACAGAAGTAAACAGAATGAGGAAAGGAGGTTCAGAAAAGAATGGGGAAGGAGGAGGTTTAGCTACAGTCAGAGGGAAAAAACAAGGGGATGAAGGTGAGAGGACCTGCCCAGAAATGGAAACAGGTAACAAGGCTGAGGGGATCAGAGATGGGGTCCACGCCAGGCCCCTTTCCTCTCTCTTTGGCGTGAAACAGAAGGTCCCTTCAAGAGCATCTGTATCTTTTCCTCACCTGCCAAGCGGTCTGATGGGACCCTGAATGTTTGAAGGGATCCTCTTCTTCGTGCCCCTGCCTGCCCAGCGCACAACGGCACCTTGGAGGACCCCCCTCTGGAGCGTCCTCAGCTCCAGGGGATCCAGCACCGGCATCAGGAGGTGAAGGTGATGGAAAGGAAAGTCTCGGAAAATGAGGGAATGCATTTTGCCTCCTTGTGGTGGAAAGGCAACAACAGAGAAAGGGAGAAATTGATGTATTTTGGAAGGGTCCCTCAGGGTGGACGTGTGGCCTGCTTGAAGGAACCCAGGTAAGTGAACCTAGGAAGGTGACATGCACGGAGTGGGCACAGGACCAGTGCCAAGCGCAGCATGGGCTTTGTAACGAGCCACAGGAGCAGCACAGTCTGTGACACCCTCTTCTGATGCTCACCGAGATGGGACAAGAAGGGATCCACCAGGAAGAGTAGCCCAGGGAAGGTATCTTCTGTGACCACCACATGGAAAAGTCCACCAAAACCCAGGACACAGATTCTGTCCTGTTTTTTTCCACCACAAATACAAAATATTTTTAAGTAGTGAAAACCCATGAAACCCATTCCCACCATGACCAAGTGGACATAGATTGGGAGAGGTGCCTGGAAATCACATCCCAATTTTCACTTGGCTGTAGTAACGTCACCAGCAGCGACCATAAATGTGTAACTGATCATTAAAGCGTTACAGACAACAAATTTGCTCTTAATAAAAACGGCTCCAGGAAACCCAACAGTGTGAAGAGTCACTCGTGCAGGACTGCAGGTGCTCCAAGGCATTTGTTCCCCCTCGAGGACTTCAAGTTCAGCGAGATTGAAAACAAAACAGAGCAATAAAACCAGCACCCTCCCAACATCAACACCTCCAAAATGGAGAGTACTCCGTGGAGGTGCCTGGTCACACATTCGCTCTACCTGTGCGACTCGCTGTCCCGAGGGACATTTTTACATGACCTTTGCTTTGTTCTGCCCACTACCTGTCCACACCTTCCCGCAATCCCACCTTAAGGCTGCTCCTTGGGGAGAAGACCCCCTACAATCTGCTGCACCTGACAAGGCTTTCACCCATAGGCACATGCCACCTAATTCTGTGCCTTCCTCAGCCACCCTTAGGCGCCCGTCACACATTTACCTCCCACCCAACTGCTGGCAGTCCCCACAACGAGACCATCACTTGGTCCACGCATGGGAATGGGAAAATCCAACGCAACAACATCACACCAACGTCTCCATCCACCCTCTGCCTTGGGTCATGTGCGGAGCCAGCTACAAGGAATCCCTGTCTCCACCGAGTACCAGGGAGGCTTGTAAGTCCTGGAAGTTACTGCCAGCTTCCATGGGGAAAAAAAATGAGTGCCATTACTGGAGTGTGCAGCTTAACTTCATTTTCTAGATCTTCAAAGTCTGAAGCGACTGCGTTTGTTATTTAATTTTATTTCCTTCCTGAACTCAATTTACTATTACAGCACTTAAAGCCTACACAACAGATTTGCTGTTTTATCAATATTATCAGCTCCACCTTTGGAGCACTTCTCTCATGTAAAGCACAATAGTAAATAAAAAAGTGAACCAGAAAAGGTTTTACATAACGCCCTTCTCTAACTTAGGCAGTTTATCTCCAAAATTTGTGCTTATTTTCAAGCACCAACAGACCCTGCCACACGCTGAGGGGGGAAAGAGCTCAAAGTGAAGGGAGAAGTTCCATTTTGCTCCTCAAATACCAGAAACGTTTGTTTGGGATTGACCAAATCCTCGGAGGCTGGGATTGCTACATGGGCTGAATCTCCCGCTGATTTCCAGCAGATGAGGAGCTTTTGGGTTGTTTGTTTTGGGGCGTTTTATTGAGTTGATGGTGCATGACCAGAAACCTTTATGAAGAGGCAAAGTTAAAACCTACACACATACACAATGGGGCAGTGTTTCTGAAAGGAAAGAAGGGAAAAACCACTGCTGTGAGCGTGTGGCTCCGCAGTGCTTCCTAATGCGGCGCCTGCCTTCACATTCGCCTCCCTGTGGGCACCTCCAGGAGCCGGATCCGACACCTCGGAATTCCAGAGGGGCCGCACGTGCATGTGCGTCATGGAGAGCTCCCACAGATCTGCAGGACTTAATGCACGTGCATTAAACTGCCTGCAGACCTGTGGTGAAACTGGCTCCCCTGTTCTCACCTGCTGCTGTGGCCAAACCTCGGGAAACTCATGGGATAACTAATGGAAGCCTGAGTCCAAAATCCCACAAAGCATCCGGATCCGGCGACTTTTGGTTAAGGCAGTAACTAAATACCCTCCCCGGACTCTATTCATATACACCTGGATTTGTCAGGTTGAAATGAGCCCTGTTCTGGTACCATCGCGTTTGGTTCATCCTCTGTTTCACACTGATGACAAAAATCCTGGGAGCAGTTATGGAACACAGGCTGAAATGAGCTCCTTGTACACGAGCAAATATATGGCACTCACTTGCCAGCAGCTATAGCACACAGTCTGAAAGCTGAATAAACACTGTAAAAACACCAGAACAGTTATATCACAGGGCAGGTTAGTAAAATATAATACACCACAAACATGGTATAGATGATAGATCCGGAATTGTGCATAATCACTTTGCCTTTTTCTGCAATTTTCTGGGGAACCAAACACTAAGCTACGTGGCTCATGATTCCCTTTCTGAAATTGCCTGCCTTGCATTTCACTATTTACAACAAAGCAGTCATGTAAGAGGGTGATTTAATTAAAACAGACATGCTAGTAACACACAGGTATGTATTTAACACAACACCCAACTAAACTCCAAAGCTCATTAATAGAGAGCAGCACTAAGTTAATTATCCACCCAACACGTGAATCACACGTTGGTGTGTGAACATATCCTAGACATATCGGATGAAACCTTCCAGAGACACTAAATGATTCTGTTTAATTCATATTTTGTGGTTTCCACATCATTTCTGACAATTCCACAGACTCCCTTTTTGAGCAATCCTCCCAATTAGAGCTAAGATTTCTCTTTAAACTCTTTCCTATTTTGGCCGTTTTAAACATCTTTTCTGAGGGCCTCTTTATCTAGCACGTTGTGACATTACCTTAAATGTTTCACAGCACTAAATTTGGGCAATCTGCACAGACACCTATAGGAAAAAATTCTGTCCTAACAAGGCCAATATAAAACTTTCAGCTCTCTATAAATTCTGCTTTAATCACATTGGAAGCAGATGTGAACAAATACAATGTGTGCTCCAGCAAGAGTCACATACCTGATGGAAACTCCCTCTCCCGTCAGTACAAAGGGCAGGTAAGACTCTCACTCCAACCTTCCCTCCTTCCTTCTGCTAGTTCTATCCAAGAAGGATGAACAGTTCCAATGCTATAGAAATCCTACGTAATACCACGATAATCCCAAAGTCATTTCTCCTCAGCAAGGTAATAATAAAGCATCAGAGTAGGATATCCCACATCCACGCATAGTGGCACAGTCCTACCTTTTCAGCTTCATGTAATTCTCGCTAGCTGCAGGTCTGCATTCAGCCCGTTGCACCACGATTCCTTCGAGGGAAAGTTTGTCTAGAATGGAAAAACAAAGCATTGCCATGCATTAAAATAAAACTCACCAGTAAAGTCAGCATTTAAATTATTTTTCTGTAATGCAGTTTAGCAAACCTAAGTTCTCTAACCTCTGCTACTTTGATATTGAAGAAGAAAAGCAGAAAAAAAACACACCTGCAGGGGTGGTATCCCCTACGCATCCCTGTTTTGCCATCGGATGCTCTACATGTTATGAATTAATCACACAGACCAATTTTTTAATAAAAAGCTAGGAATTGTGTAGCCCTCCCTTTTCAGTGTTGCATCCTGCTTACCTAGCAACTGTTTTCTAGAAAAGTGCATTGAGCACAGCCAGTATCTTTGAAAAATAACCTGGAAAGAGGATCCCATCAGGGTATCCAACATGCGTGGCAGGTAACACGAGAGCAAGTTTTATTCCTACCTTGTCTGACTGTCATCAGAAAATAGGGTGGCCTATTTGCAGTCATAAAACTATAAAAACATTCTTCACCAAAGGAGGGAAAAGCAATAAAATAATAGCACATATGGTAACACCAGGGAGAAGAGACAGCCCCGCAGTTGCTAATGGCGAAGCTGGCCTATGTAAGGAAGTTTAAGTTTTAAACGCTGTTCTCTGCACATCCACCCCTGCAAGAGGCACGTGGCCATCTGCTATCAGCCCCTTCTTGCCTAAAGCACCATTCCCTGTCAGTGCAGAGCAGAGCACCAGCAGCAGCCCCGCTGGGAAGCAGGAAAAGCCTGAGGAGGAAGGCAGCCTCACGCGGACACCAGGCAGCAGTGACCTCGGCTAAGCTCCCGGTTTCGTCCTATGTGAGCGGGGTCGGTTCAAGGGCCTCTTTTGGGTACGGACGGGACGGCGTGTCAAAACGTGCACCCCGACAACAGCCAGGGGCAACACGAACTGATGAGTTTCTAAACTCATGATTAACTCTCATTATTTCTCATTATTTCTCTCATTATTATATATATCAAAGGATCTCACCTCGCTACCGGTGTAGGAGAGGGCACTGCCACTTCCAGCTCCCAAGGAGGAGAACAGAAAAACGGCAAGAACCAAGGCAAGGAACCCAGCTCCTTCCGTAGGAGAGGTGGGAAAATCCCCCGTATTTTTCCAGGGCCTTGCAGACTGACATCCAATTACATGCATGAATCTATGTCTGCTCTCTTTAAATAATGCAAGCAACAATATATTTTGTCATCAAGTATTTAAAAACTGATTTCACTTACATGTTGTCCTTGTTTTGACTGAGAAATTAACAGCTTTATGGGAAAAAATATTTGCATTCTGGCAGTTCTGAACATTTCCAAGCAATATTTTAGGAAGATATTTCTGCTTTTGCGGATTTGTAATGGTTTAATGCCATAAGAGAGAGCTTAGTCTGCTTGCCTGACCTCCTGTGTAGCGCAGAAAATTAAATTTATCCTCTTCTGTGAGAAACCTAATAACTTATGTGTGACTAGGATGCTATTAACATCAGCGTTTTAATTCTAATGTGAATTTGTCTTCAGCTTCCAGGAGTTAGTTCATCTTTCTGTACAACATTAAAGTGCCTTCTAATACCTGGTACTTGCTCCCTGTGAAAGTATCTGCACATTGTAATAACCAGGTCACTTCTCAATATTCTTTACAATAAATGAAGAAGTTCAAGCTCGTGCATTATCTCACCATAAGGCATTTTAATACCGTACTTGAATCAGTTCTGCAGTTCTTTATATGCCCCTTGTTCAACATTTCAATGACTGTAAGAACACAGATTCCATAAAGCAGATGTAATACTCCTGTACTGGTCTTACACCCTATAGAAAGGCACAATAACCATACAAAGACAAAATAACAGCTATAGGAGAAGAGTTTTTACATCCAGTTTGCATTTTAGCTCAGCTCACTTCAAATGTCCCAAGGTTATCGAGCAAATTCTCTGAATCCCACAGGGAAAGGGAGGGAGGGAAACGCTGGGAAGGCAGCTCTGGGGGATCCAACGAGCTGTCTGTGCTGGCAGGTTTTCTCCCTCCACTGATTTTGCCTCATGTTTAGATGACAAGAGCCGGGTCATGAGCAATTCCTGCCTAAAACCAAGCTCAGCGGCTCGGTGAGTCTCCACGATGTCCATCTGACTCTCCACGATGTCCATCCCCAACACACCCATTAGGAACCTTTCCCACGCTGTACGTTCTCCAGATGCACATTACATGCCCTCTTCCTAGGAACACAACTGCTTCTAGCTGGTGAAAACTGTTTTTGTTAAGCAGATTCTGTGAACAAAGTGATCTGGGGCACCCTGTGCTGCTCCTGTCACAGTTATTCACCGTCTGGCCAGGCCTTCGTGTCAACCAGGATACATTTTACGAGCAGCACCTCCATCCCACCGCTGCCCCTCTTGCTAGTCCTGGAGGAAGCCAGGATTCAAACTGCTTCAAACTGCTCCTTGCAGACGACTTCCCACCGATAATTACTCTCCCATAGCTGTCAGCCAGGTCTTCATCTCGTTCTGTGCTTGCTTTTTCTTTAACATAAATCAGAGCATCACAGGATACTAAATTGCGTGAAGGACGAAGTGCTAACAGACTGCAACCATGCTCCTTTAACAGGCAAATTTCTCAAAAATAAATAAAACGAAGTTTATTTGATCAGAAAATCTTTACATTAAGCCACATTTGCTAATACAAATTTCATAGACATGTGTGTGTTATTTCCTTTTCTATCTTTGAAACTTCATGACAATTTTTCCTTTAGTTTATATGGTACAGCTATAAGGCTAACTCGCCTATATCCACCTAAGTCATCCATCCTTCTGCCCTCTGGAGGCTGATGTGCTGTGAGCTGCAGATTTTGAAACCTATTCCTAAATTTTAAGGATCAGTATCAGTATCAGTAACCAGCTATTGCCAATACCAATCATTTAGGAAACTCAATAACAATTATTTCAATCTTTCAGCTAAAAACGTTCATCCCTAATAACACCTTATGTGTTATTTCACCTCTTCAGTAATATCCTTTTTTAATTACCAACGCTCTGGGCTTCTTGCATTTAATATTCCACTATTTCACCAACGGCATCAATGCACAATGCCGTCTACAGCCTCAGAGATCCTAATGTTCCAGCTATCCTGCCAAAACTTAACCCACTGTCCAGAGCCCAGGTTCATGTCCCACTTCTCCCTGCCCCTTTTGGGGATTTTAAGACATCCAGAGAGTCTATCAGAACAAATCTATTCTGGCTGGAGCAAACCTACTGTGCTAAGCGTCCAAATGCAATATTGTAATAAGGGGAAAAGGATTTCTTTATTGCCTTCACAGACTAATTAGTCTTTTTTCACCAAAATCATGCACCTATTTATTATCTCCAGGAACCTAGATTGTTTTTCACCTGTTGCAGGGCCAGGGCTCCACTAAAGACATCCCAAACGTTACATGTCTATCTGGATACATGGCATTTCCACGCTCCTATTAGTCTGGAACTAAAAGGATGAATCAGGCATGAAAGTAGTGATTCTCCACTAAAATACCTGCCCAAACAAAAGCAGATAGAAACACACAGATGAAGAGGCTGGAGTCCATGAGGCTGGACACATCCAGGGATTGATTAGAGGGGAAGGAGACACACAATTCCCAGAGCTTCTCACGCCCGGAATGGCCTTACGAGAGGCGAAGACGCAAGATCAGCTTTGGAGGGGCTGGTCTGCACAGTCCAGAGCTGCCTCCACTGCTGCCACGTGGACACTCATCCCTACATCCCTCCTGACCGCCCTGTTAGGGAGCTGCAAGCGCTGGCCCTCTCAGTGACAGGCGGGTGACGTGAGCTGTGGTGCTGCTGCTGCTGCTGCTGCTGCTCCTGCTGCTGCTGCTGCTCCTGCTGCTGCTCCAGCTTCGCCTTCTGCTGACAGAGCCCGTCAAGGAACCAGAAGGTGGTTAAGATGCTGCAGACCACCTCCACACAATGTGGAGCAAATGCCACCGAGGGGCCTTTCTGAGAGAAAGGGAAGGGGAGAGAAAGAGGAGCAGGGAGATGGTCTGCATTTGCAGGTGTTAATTTGCTAGTCTCACTGCACCCAGCTCTAATTTACAGGCACCGGGTCTTGTTAGACTTTTGGCTGTGAAGCTGCAGAGCTTGCTCTAAAAGCCCATCCAGACACTAAGGAGCTCTCCCTCTTTATTAGCCTAATAAATCATGTTTTCTTCCATCAGGTGCATGTTTTCCAGCTTCTTACCCATCCTCGTTGCTCTGAGGGGGTCCAGTTTACTAAAGTCTCTCCTGAAACGCAGCTCTTAGGGTGCATGGGGCAGGACCCACAGTTTGTGGCCCCTGCAGGTCATGAGAGTTGATGGATGCATGGGATGGAGGAGATGGAGACCCACCTTGGAGGCTGCCATTCCCAGCAGGAGGAAAACGTGGCCAGGAAAGGGTCCCAAGAAGTCCTCTGCTTTCCCTTGCCCTGCTGCGCAGGCTCCAGCTGAATGGGGCATCCCCACTGCCATCATTTCCTTCCTTATTTACTACATCTTTCCTAGGAATCATCTCCAAACTGCACCAGTAACCACGTACTTCTTCACTGGCCACAAATACATAAATATACAGCAAAGAACCAAGCACAGCAGCACTTCAGGGCTAATTCTCCTCTTACATCTTCTCGTGTGAGACCCAGTAGATGGCTTTTCTGTGGAGTTAAATGAAAGGGAGACTCCTACAGCCTAATACAGTCTAATTAAAAAATGACAAATAAGGCCTGCTCACAGATTTACCAGAAAAAAAAATAAAATTGCCTCCTTTGATGATCAAACTTGTAATATTAAAAAAAAATAGTAAATGGAGCCAGTCCATTTTCCTTACACCCACATTTGATGGTTATTATTGTATTGCTCTCCCTTAATTTTTAGTTGACTGACCTCCAAGTCAGATTTTTTATTATGTCACTTTTCATTTTAAATACTTGGGTCATCCGCTTTACCTTTTAAATACTGGCACAGCGTTGGCTTTTTCAATCTTGCTTAACTGCAA